GACACCACCTCAAGCTGCTGAGCGCCCACCCAGCACCACAGCGCTTGGACCCAGGCCGAAGCCCCCAGAGCCCCCAGAGAGCATCCGAGGTAAGGACGTGCCACAGCTTGGAGCCCGTATCAACACAAGCAGAGACGGAGCGGGACGGGTTTGTGTCCCCCAACAAGTCTCGACCTTCCCGAACTGCTCTGATACAGCGAGCGCCTGCCCCAGACCCCTCCAGCTCTTGCCAACGATGCACAGAAAAGTTTCCGCCTTGTCCTGCCGATGGCATCCTGCGTCTTCCAAGGGGAGAGCCAAAAAGTGATGCTGGCGCCCTTTGCTTTCCAAGGGGAGAGCCGGAAGGTGATGCGGGCCCCCAGGAAAGCCCTGTTGGGAAGAGCGAGGAGCACTGCACCGTGCCCAGCTGAAGGGCAGGATTAACAGGGCTGATCAGCCCCGCTGGCCGATCCTCACTCCTAACGCTGCCCAGAGCGTCCGTGCCACAATCCCAGGCTCTGCCACGCGCTGGCGGGATGGGGAGGTGACCACAGGCCGCTCGTAGCCAGGGGCAATTCCCGATGGGGACCTGCTGCCCAGCGTGGCTGTGGCACCCAGACCCCTTTCCTTGGGGTTTTGGGCATGCAAAACCCACCCGGTGCTGCAACCTGTCAGCGCGCGCTGGAAACCACGGCCTGCGGCATAGCCGCCCGGTGGGTCCCTGCTCCCTCGGGCACTGCTGCTATCCCGGGGATCAGCCCCAGCCGCTGGCTCGTCCCGGCCCCGGCTCTCAGTGGAGTTTTGTGTCTCGCGCAGCGGCACCGAGGAGCAAAGCCGGGCGCACAGCACACTCTGCAGGCAGGAGGCACGGCAAGAAGGCAGGTAGGTGCCCGCGCCGTAGCACTAGCCGGCCCGTACGCCCAGCAGCTTCTTCTGTGCTAGCTGTGACCGCATCGAGTAGGCACCACGGCTGGTAGATGCTTTTATAAGCTCTTTAGACACGCAGACGCTCCGGTTGACCAAGCCGGTTCATCATGCG